CAGTTCTAGTTCTTTTTCTAGTTCAGTTCTAGTTCAGTTCTAGTTCAGTTCTAGTTCAGTTCTAGTTCAGTTCTAGTTCAGTTCTAGTTCAGTTCTAGTTCAGTTCTAGTTCAGTTCTAGTTCAGTTCTAGTTCAGTTCTAGTTCAGTTCTAGTTCAGTTCTAGTTCAGTTCTAGTTCAGTTCTAGTTCAGTTCTAGTTCAGTTCTAGTTCAGTTCTAGTTCAGTTCTAGTTCAGTTCTAGTTCAGTTCTAGTTCAGTTCTAGTTCAGTTCTAGTTCAGTTCTAGTTCAGTTCTAGTTCAGTTCTAGTTCAGTTTCTAGTTCAGTTCTAGTTCAGTTCTAGTTCAGTTCGTTCAGTTCTAGTTCAGTTCTAGTTCAGTTCTAGTTCAGTTCTAGTTCAGTTCTAGTTCAGTTCTAGTTCAGTTCTAGTTCAGTTCTAGTTCAGTTCTAGTTCAGTTCTAGTTCAGTTCTAGTTAGTCAGTTCTAGTTCAGTTCTAGTTCAGTTCTAGTTCAGTTCTAGTTCAGTTCTAGTTTCAGTTCTAGTCTCAGTTCTAGTTCAGTTCTAGTTCAGTTCTAGTTCAGTTCTAGTTCAGTTCTAGTTAGTTCTAGTTCAGTTCTAGTTCAGTTCTAGTTCAGTTCTAGTCAGTTCTAGTTCAAGTTCTAGTTCAGTTCTAGTTCAGTTCTAGTTCAGTTTCTAGTTCAGTTCTAGTCAGTTCAGTTCAGTTCTAGTTCAGTCTAGTTCAGTTCTAGTTCAGTTCTAGTTCAGTTCTAGTTCAGTTCTGTCTAGTTCAGTTCTAGTTCAGTTCTAGTTCAGTTCTAGTTCAGTTCTAGTTCAGTTCTAGTTCAGTTCTAGTTCAGTTCTAGTTCAGTTCTAGTTCAGTTCTAGTTCAGTTCTAGTTCAGTTCTAGTTCAGTTCTAGTTCAGTTCTAGTTCAGTTCTAGTTCAGTTCTAGTTCAGTTCTAGTTCAGATCTAGTTCAGTTCTAGTTCAGTTCTAGTTCAGTTCTAGTTCAGTTCTAGTTCAGTTCTAGTTCAGTTCTAGTTCAGTTCTAGTTCAGTTCTAGTTCAGTTCTAGTTCAGTTCTAGTTCAGTTCTAGTTCAGTTCTAGTTCAGTTCTAGTTCAGTTCTAGTTCAGTTCTAGTTCAGTTCTAGTTCAGTTCTAGTTCAGTTCTAGTTCTAGTTCAGTTCTAGTTCTAGTTCAGTTCTAGTTCAGTTCTAGTTCAGTTCCAGTTGAGTTCAAGTTGAGTTCTAGTTGAGTTCTAGTTGAGTTCTAGTTCAGTTCTAGTTCAGTTCTAGTTCAGTTTCTAGTTCAGTTCTAGTTCAGTTCTAGTTCAGTTCTAGTTCAGTTCTAGTTCAGTTTCTAGTTCAGTTCTAGTTCAGTTCTAGTTCAGTTCTAGTTCAGTTCTAGTTCAGTTCTAGTTCAGTTCTAGTTCAGTTCTAGTTCAGTTCTAGTTCAGTTCTAGTTCAGTTCTAGTTCAGTTCTAGTTCAGTTCTAGTTCAGTTCTAGTTCAGTTCTAGTTCGTTCTAGTTCAGTTTCTAGTTCAGTTCTAGTTCAGTTCTAGTTCAGTTCTAGTTCAGTTCTAGTTCAGTTCTAGTTCAGTTCTAGTTCAGTTCTAGTTCAGTTCTAGTTCAGTTCTAGTTCAGTTCTAGTCAGTTCTAGTTCAGTTCTAGTTCAGTTCTTGTTCAGTTCTAGTTCAGTTCTAGTTCAGTTCTAGTTCAGTTCTAGTTCAGTTCTAGTTCAGTTTCTAGTTCAGTTCTAGTTCAGTTCTAGTTCAGTTCTAGTTCAGTTCTAGTTCAGTTCTAGTTCAGTTCTAGTTCAGTTCTAGTTCAGTTCTAGTTCAGTTCTAGTTGTAGTTCTAGTTATTCTAGTTCAGTTCTAGTTCAGTTCTAGTTCAGTTCTAGTTCAGTTCTAGTTCAGTTCTAGTTCAGTTCTAGTTCAGTTCTAGTTCAGTTCTAGTCAGTTCTAGTTCAGTTCTAGTCCGTTCTAGTTCAGTTCTAGTTCAGTTCTAGTTCAGTTCTAGTTCAGTTCTAGTTCAGTTCAAGATCAGTTCTAGATCACTTTTGTTTATTGTAAAACCATTCATTTTCTTCCTTCACGACCACTGTGCCTTGTAAATTGCGTTAATTAAGAAGTAATTTTATAGTATCATTTGTTGCTTGCACTTTTTTACTCGCCATTCTTTTGTTTTGTTGTTTTCAAATCAAGGCATCACAATCAATAAGGTCCACCATCGCAAACTAATTGTACTATTTCTTACAAACAACTCATTAAAAGAATTTATTTAAGACATTCATTCAGAAAATAAAAAACTGATTCACAAACACGAGTACTTTAAAAAATAAAACATGCAAATAAAAAAAACGCAAAAAATTAAAATTGTTTTCTAAAGAAAATTAAAAAAATGAACACAAATGTTATCACCTACTGGTTGATCTTTATTATCATTATTTATATTTTATTTGTCATACACAAAACACACTTGAACAATTTAAATATAATTCTTTACAATTCATTTAGGGAAAAATACACTATAATTCTCATTAATTTGCTCTTGTTCTTTATTTGATATTCTTAAATTTTATTATCATTATTGCCGACTTGGTCTAATTTCCTTATTTGTTTTAAATTTTCATTGGATTTTATAATTAAAAGATCTTTTGTTACTTTTTTTTTGTATCGATACTAACCGCTTGCACATAATTTGTGTAAAATATACACAAAAATAATGTTATAATTTTCCACATTTTATGACATTTATGTATATATTTTTTAAATATTGTCTAGTTTCACTATTAACTTATAAAACTATTTTTAAGTTTTCTAACGTAAAATCCTTCTTTTGTTTTTAAACAATTTTTCCGTTATTTTTCAACGACGATCCGTATTTCTCGAAATGCAAATGAGTTTTAAATTCTATGCGAGATCTTTCTAATTAAAACTGTCGGTCTTTGTATTAATGCCGTTGTTGGTTTCCTTTCATGAGAACAAATTTATACTTTTGAAAATACTCTCTCTATGATCTGTATTATCATTCACATCTTTGGGATTGCTTTAAACCTAGACCATGTTTAACGGGCTTCAACAGAATATTGTTTATTGTTCAGTTCTACTTCTAGTTCTAGTTCAGTTCTAGTTCAGTTCTAGTTCAGTTCTAGTTCGGTTCTAGTTCAGTTCTAGTCCAGTTCTAGTTCAGTTCTAGTTCAGTTCTAGTTCAGTTCTAGTTCAGTTCTAGTTCAGTTCTAGTCAGTTCCAGTTCAGTTCTAGTTCAGTTCTAGTTCAGTTCTAGTTCAGTTCTAGTTCAGTTCTAGTTCAGTTCCAGTTCAGTTCCAGTTCAGATCTAGTTCAGTTCTAGTTCAGATCTAGTTCAGTTCTAGTTCAGATCTAGTTCAGTTCTAGTTCAGTTCTAGTTAAGTTCTAGTTAAGTTCTAGTTCAATTCTAATTCAGTTCTAATTCAGTTCTAATTCATTTCAAGTTCAGTTCTAGTTCAGTTCCAGTTCAGTTCTAGTTCAGTTCTAGTTCAGTTCTAGTTCAGTTCTAGTTCAGTTCTAGTTCAGTTCTAGTTCAGTTCTAGTTCAGTTCTAGTTCAGTTCTAGTTCAGTTCTAGTTCAGTTCTAGTTCAGTTCTAGTTCAGTTCTAGTTCAGTTCTAGTTCAGTTCTAGTTCAGTTCTAGTTAAGCTCTAGTTCAGTTCTAGTTCAGTTCTAATTCAGTTCTAATTCAGTTCTAATTAATTTCAAGTTCAGTTCTAGTTCAGTTCTAGTTCAGTTCCAGTTCAGTTCTAGTTCAGTTTTAGTTCAGTTCTAGTTCAGTTCTAGTTCAGTTCTAGTTCAGTTCTAGTTCAGTTCTAGTTCAGTTCTAGTTCAGTTCTAGTTCAGTTCTAGTTCAGTTCTAGTTCAGTTCTAGTTCTAGTTCAGTTCTAGTTCAGTTCTAGTTCAGTTCTAGTTCAGATCTAGTTCAGTTCTAGTTCAGTTCTAGTTCAGTTCTAGTTCAGTTCTAGTTCAGTTCTAGTTCAGTTCTAGTTCAGTTCTAGTTCAGTTCTAGTTCAGTTCTAGTTCAGTTCTAGTTCAGTTCTAGTTCAGTTCTAGTTCAGTTCTAGTTCAGTTCTAGTTCAGTTCTAGTTCAGTTCTAGTTCAGTTCTAGTTCAGTTCTAGTTCAGTTCTAGTTCAGTTCTAGTTCAGTTCTAGTTCAGTTCTAGTTCAGTTCTAGTTCAGTTCTAGTTCAGTTCTAGTTCAGTTCTAGTTCAGTTCTAGTTCAGTTCTAGTTCAGTTCTAGTTCAGTTCTAGTTCAGTTCTAGTTCAGTTCTAGTTCTTCTAGTTCAGTTCTAGTTCAGTTCTAGTTCAGTTCTAGTTCAGTTCTAGTTCAGTTCTAGTTCAGTTCTAGTTCAGTTCTAGTTCAGTTCTAGTTCAGTTCTAGTTCAGTTCTAGTTCAGTTCTAGTTCAGTTCTAGTTCAGTTCTAGTTCAGTTCTAGTTCAGTTCTAGTTCAGTTCTAGTTCAGTTCTAGTTCAGTTCTAGTTCAGTTCTAGTTCAGTTCTAGTTCAGTTCTAGTTCAGTTCTAGTTCAGTTCTAGTTCGGTTCTTGTTCAGTTCTAGTTCAGTTACAATTCAGTTCTAGTTCAGTTCTAGCTCGGTTCTACTTCAGTTACATTTCAGTTCTAGTTCAGTATATACATATTTAACACGTTAAGAAAGCAATCTTCACTTTTCTTAAATGCGGTATTGGAGAATTTCAGGGATATACAATTTTTACTTTTACATAATTTTTTAAACCATATCGTCCGGCAAACAAATATCAAGTGTATATATGTATATGCTTGGGAGAGAGCATTTCTATTTCTTATCACTTTATACAGACATAAAATGAATTTATTTATTTACTTTTTTATTCATTTATTTATTTTCGGTGGCGCAAGTAAATACGACATAAACCAACCTTACAAACTAATTTGTTGATAAGAAAGATGCATTTCAATTATTATTTTTTTAATGTTTAAAAAAAATGTACATATGTATATCATTTTATTTTCAGTGACTTCTACATTTAATTGTATGTACTTACTCCTAAGTGCATATATTTAAATAACTCTTGACTCCAAAAAAAATGTTATTATGTTTTTAAATAAACAATTACTCAGAATGTCAAATAAGATTAAAATAAGACAAATATTAAATAAACTATACAAATAATTAACATATAAGTATTTTATGAAAAAAGAACAATATAACATTGCTATCATGTAAATAAAGCATTTCAGAAATAACAATTAATCAGAAACAGTTAGGAACTAAATAAGATTGTATATTTCATTTATCTAATCATTATAAATTTGATATGTAGCCCTATTACTCTTCAATTTCGTTGGAGTCATTAATACATTTGCGGGATTCTAAATCAAAAAATTTATTTTTTGGACACCATCGAACAAGCAGTTTCCCATCTGAGCAAAGAATAAATTTATGCCAATTTGTAGGATGTGGATAAGTCTTGTTACCTTTTGGTTCACAATATACGCCCAAGGTATTTTTATCTGAAAGTGACATGTTTATGTTCCATAAATACTTTATTTAAAAGTGAAAAGTTATATTCCGTAAATCTTAAAATTATAAATAATAAATTTCTAGTTTATTTCCAGTTCAGTTCTAGTTCAGTTCTAGTTCAGTTCTAGTTCAGTTCTGTTCAGTTCTAGTTCAGTTCTAGTTCAGTTCTAGTTCAGTTCTAGTTCAGTTCTAGTTCAGTTCTAGTTCAGTTCTAGTTAGTTCTAGTTCAGTTCTAGTTCAGTTCTAGTTCAGTTCTAGTTCATTCTAGTTCAGTTCTAGTTCAGTTCTAGTTCAGTTTCTAGTTCAGTTCTAGTTCAGTTCTAGTTCAGTTAGTTCAGTTCTAGTTCAGTTCTAGTTCAGTTCTAGTTCAGTTCTAGTTCAGTTCTAGTTCAGTTCTAGTTCAGTTCTAGTTCAGTTCTAGTTCAGTTCTAGTTCAGTTCTAGTTCAGTTCTAGTTCAGTTCTAGTTCAGTTCTAGTTCAGTTCTAGTTCAGTTCTAGTTCAGTTCTAGTTCAGTTCTAGTTCAGTTCTAGTTCAGTTCTAGTTCAGTTCTAGTTCAGTTCTAGTTCAGTTCTAGTTCAGTTCTAGTTCAGTTCTAGTTCAGTTAGTTCTAGTTCAGTTCTAGTTCAGTTCTAGTTCAGTTCTAGTTCAGTTCTAGTTCAGTTCTAGTTCAGTTCTAGTTCAGTTCTAGTTCAGTTCTCTAGTTCAGTTCTAGTTCAGTTCTAGTTCAGTTCTAGTTCAGTTCTAGTTCAGTTCTAGTTCAGTTCTAGTTCAGTTCTAGTTCAGTTCTAGTTCAGTTCTAGTTCAGTTCTAGTTCAGTTTCTAGTTCAGTTCTAGTTCAGTTCTAGTTCAGTTCTAGTTCAGTTCTAGTTCAGTTCTAGTTCAGTTCTAGTTCAGTTCTAGTTCAGTTCTAGTTCAGTTCTAGTTCAGTTCTAGTTCAGTTCTAGTTCAGTTTAGTTCAGTTCTAGTTCAGTTCTAGTTCAGTTCTAGTTCAGTTCTAGTTCAGTTCTAGTTCAGTTCTAGTTCAGTTCTAGTTCAGTTCTAGTTCAGTTCTAGTTCTACTAGTTCTTCTAGTTCAGTTCTAGTTCAGTTCTAGTTCAGTTCTAGTTCAGTTCAGTTCAGTTCTAGTTCAGTTCAGTTAGTTCAGTTCTAGTTCAGTTCAGTTCTAGTTCAGTTCTAGTTCAGTTCTAGTTCAGTTCCAGTTCAGTTCTAGTTCAGTTCTAGTTCAGTTCTAGTTCAGTTCTAGTTCAGTTCTAGTTCAGTTCTAGTTCAGTTCTAGTTCAGTTCTAGTTCAGTTCTAGTTCAGTTCTAGTTCAGTTCTAGTTCAGTTCTAGTTCAGTTCTAGTTCAGTTCTAGTTCAGTTCTAGTTCAGTTTAGTTCAGTTCTAGTTCAGTTCTAGTTCAGTTCTAGTTCAGTTCTAGTTCAGTTCTAGTTCAGTTCTAGTTCAGTTCTAGTTCAGTTCTAGTTCAGTTCTAGTTCAGTTCTAGTTCAGTTCTAGTTCAGTTCTAGTTCAGTTCTAGTTCAGTTCTAGTTCAGTTCTAGTTCAGTTCTAGTTCAGTTCTAGTTCAGTTCTAGTTCAGTTCTAGTTCAGTTCTAGTTCAGTTCTAGTTCAGTTCTAGTTCAGTTCTAGTTCAGTTCTAGTTCAGTTCTAGTTCAGTTCTAGTTCAGTTCTAGTTCAGTTCTAGTTCAGTTCTAGTTCAGTTCTAGTTCAGTTCTAGTTCAGTTCTAGTTCAGTTCTAGTTCAGTTCTAGTTCAGTTCTAGTTCAGTTCTAGTTCAGTTCTAGTTCAGTTCTAGTTCAGTTCTAGTTCAGTTCTAGTTCAGTTCTAGTTCAGTTCTAGTTCAGTTCTAGTTCAGCTTCTAGTTCAGTTTCTAGTTCAGTTCTAGTTCAGTTCTAGTTCAGTTCTAGTTCAGTTCTAGTTCAGTTCTAGTTCAGTTCTATTCATTCTAGTTCAGTTATAGTGTCAGTTCAGTTCTAGTCAGTTCTAGTTCAGTTCTAGTTCAGTTATAGTTCAGTTATAGTTCAGTTCTAGTTCAGTTCTAGTTCAGTTCTAGTTCAGTTCTAGTTCCGTTCTAGTTCAGTTCTAGTTCAGTTCTAGTTCAGTTCTAGTTCAGTTCTGGTTCAGTTCTAGTTCAGTTCTAGTTCAGTTCTAGTTCAGTTCTAGTTCAGTTCTAGATCAGTTCTAGTTCAGTTCTAGTTCAGTTCTAGTTCAGTTCTAGTTCAGTTCTAGTTCAGTTTCTAGTTCAGTTCTAGATCAGTTCTAGTTCAGATCTAGTTCAGTTCTAGATCGTTCTAGTTCAGTTCTAGTTCAGTTCTAGTTAATTTAAAAATTAAAAAGTACCTTCCGAATTTTCATTATTTTCTATGCACTCCACATGATATTGGTCCTTCAGCTCACTCTTTAAGCCACAGGTCCCTTTATGAAAATTGAAAACATTGCCAATAGGACAGTTTCTTATATTGGTGCCAAAAGGAGAACATATTATGTATTTGTCACAATAAAAAGGATGTATAAAAGTACCATCTAAATCTTTAGGACATTTTAGGAAAGTAGAACCATCTTCTTTTGAAAAAGAAAAAAAAATAATAAATTTCTTAAACAATTTCATCTATAATTTTGACAAACTTACTCGTTCGTATTTCAACTTTTGATTTGTCAGTGTTATTGTTCCCAGTAGGTGGCAACATTTTAAACAAATTAGTTTCGTTTCTTTCACAAAATTTTGTAAAAATGTTATAAACATAACCGGTAAAACAGGTTTTCTCATATAATCGCCCATAAACACATTTCAAATATTTCTGATTATTAAATGGATGTGGATATAATCCAAATAACTCTATTGGACAGTCGATGGTATCATTGTACTTGGCAGGACCATTTGTATAAATTGGTTTAGTTGTTGGTAAAGCGACATGATCGCCATGTGGTACCTGCTCTTCAGGTAAGCAGGTACCTTGGCTGATACTAAATACTTCCAAGGGATCACAGTCTAGTACTTTCATCTGGCCCCAAACACATTTTATATATTTTCTGGGAGTATATGGATACAAATATTTACCTCTCTTATCAAGAGGACATCCATGTAAAAATTTATATAGATCATTATTGTCTAAATTCTCGAATTGTGGTTTATGAACTGATACACATTTTCCTTTTGTGGTACTAAAATTTTTACCGTAAGGACAATTTTTTATAAAGGTTTTTGCTGGTACACATTTATGTAATAGTAATTATCAAAAGGATATGGATATAGTCCATTTGACAGCTGAGAACATAAAATATCACTTGCATTATTTCCAGATAATTGAGGTGCATCTGAAAAATATATTGTATGTATGTATGTTCTTTAAAAGAAATTGAAATTTGAAATGTTAACTTACTGCAATTGGTTGTATTCCAGTAGTCACATTCTGCTCTATGGTTCTGCTTGCAAAATAATCGATATTTATCGAATGCTGTGCCATAAGCACATTTTTTACATAACATATTCCGTTAGAAACAAAAAATAAACTTTTGACAGTCCCCCACGAAAGGATGACTTGAAGAAATTGTGTCATTTGGACAAGACTCTAAAGGAAAAAGGTAAGATTTTTAGTTAAAAATATCTTTCTTCTAGAAATAAAATTACCTTTTTGCTCGTCATGATGACTACAAATTAATTGCTAAAATAAAGAAGGAAAAAATAAATTATTATGTTATACATATGTATGTATTATTAGCGGTAACTTAAGCCCTAACATATTTTTCTTTTTACGGCAGACCATTTTCAAAACCTCAAATTTTCGATCAACAGAGAACATTTTGGGAAATAAAACATCCTATTTCTTATAGAGAAATGTTTCAAAAATTAACTTTTGAAAAGAAACTGTTAAATCTTTCTTTTAGGTAGTCAGTTTTAGGTAGTCAGTTAGTTAGTTAGTTAGTTAGTTAGTTAGTTAGTTAGTTAGTTAGTTAGTTAGTTAGTTAGTTAGTTAGTTAGTTTCGTTAGTTTCGTTAGTTTTAGTTAGTTAGTTTAGTTAGTTAGTTCGTTAGTTAGTTAGTTTAGTTAGTTAGTTCGTTCGTTTTAGTTAGTTCGTTCGTTCGTTCGTTCGTCGTTCGTTCGTTCGTTTTCGTTCGTTTTCGTTCGTTCGTTCGTTCGTTCGTTCGTTGTTCGTTCGTTCGTTCGTTCGTTCGTTCGTTCGTTCGTTTCGTTCGTTCGTTCGTTCGTTCGTTCGTTTCGTTCGTTCGTTCTTCGTTCGTTCGTTTCGTTCGTTTCGTTCGTTCGTTGTTCGTTCGTTTCGTTCGTTCTTCGTTCGTTCGTTCGTTCGTTCGTTCGTTTTCGTTCGTTCGTTCGTTCGTTCGTTAGTTCGTTCGTTCGTTTTCGTTCGTTCGTTCGTTCGTTCGTTCGTTCGTTTCGTTCGTTTTCGTTCGTTCGTTCGTTCGTTCGTTCGTTCGTTCGTTCGTTCGTTCGTTCGTTCGTTCGTTCGTTCGTTCGTTCGTTCGTTCGTTCGTTCGTTCGTTCGTTCGTTTCGTTCGTTCGTTCGTTTCTTCGTTCGTTCGTTCGTTCGTTCTTCGTTCGTTCGTTCGTTCGTTCGTTCGTTCGTTCGTTCTTGTTCGTTCGTTCGTTCGTTCTTTCGTTCGTTCGTTTCGTTCGTTCGTTCGTTGTTCGTTTTTTTTCGTTCGTTTTCGTTGTTCGTTCGTTGTCTTTCGTTTCGTTCGTTCGTTCGTTCTTTCGTTCGTTTTTTCGTTTCGTTCGTTCTTTCGTTCGTTCGTTCTTTCGTTCGTTCGTTCGTTCGTTCGTTCGTTCTTCGTTTTCGTTCGTTTCGTTCGTTCGTTCTTTCGTTCGTTCGTTCGTTCGTTCGTTCGCCCTCCCTCCTTTTTCCCTCCCCCCCCCATTTCTCCCCGGTTCCCGCCCTCCCCTTTTCTTTTCCCGCTTTCATCTCTCCCGCTTTTCCCGTCCGAGCACCGTTTACTTCGCGCCCCCCCCTGACCTAGTAATTCCCCCCGGTATCCCTTACCTTGTGTGGTTCTTTAAATAATGAACTCAGACACAGTTATTTTTTTGTTTATTGTTTACACTTAATATGACAACTACTAACCGCTTTCATTAGAATTATATTAAATATTATTAATTTATAAAATAAAAATGAATTCTTCATTTTCTTTTAAGTTAAAACGAACCGTATTGATAGCAAAACACTCTTCAAATGATTTATATTTTCCATGGAATTCAAAGTATATGTCATAAATCTTTTGCATTAGATAATTTAATCTTTAATAATAAAACATATACATATACATACATATGAAATATGTATATGAATATATGAGAGATCTGCTAATAAGTATATCTGAAATAATTTCCATATTAATATCGCAACAAATCTTAACACTTCTCTACAAATTAAGTATTTTGAAAACACAAACTATTTGCTTATGAATATTCCAAAACTTCTTAACCCAAAAATTTAAGCCTTTTCTCAAAGTCAAATGAAAATTATAAACTTTTAATTTAATAATCGTAGCAAAAATATACTTTTTATAATTGTCTTTTGTAATAGTTTTAAAAATACTTTACGACTATTATTGTTTCATTTATATCCGGTTAATCATATTGTTAAACGTTATAAAAACTGCTTGTTTGTCATTAAAAATTGCAGGCTCAGTTTTTCTATTTGCGAATGCATTTGAAATTGTTTGTTGTTTTCAATGTTTGTTGAAAATAGACACTTTTCTAATTTATATTAAATTGAACGTTTTGTTGTTTTTGAATGGTTTTGTTTTTCAATATTAAAAATTGGCGAAAATTTAAATTATAATTTAAAAATATTTTATTAGTCAATAACAATTTTTTAAAGTTCTCACACTAAACCTATAAAAAAAGCAACTGCATATCTTGTAACTCGATTATTGTCTTTCATTTTCTTTTAATTCCCGTGGTCGGTTTAGTTTCCGATAATTTCTCAACAACTTTGACTTCCTCCACCGGCAGTTTTTCCAAACCGACACGTTGTTTCATTTTCGACCACAAATGTTCATAGGGATTTTCCAGTTCACTTTGTGTCTTGGGTATACCAAAAGCTCGCTTAACTTGTGGCGAGGCCAGCAAAAGATTTTGCACTAAACCATAGGAACTAGATGCTACCCAATAGACAGTAAGGGCAGAAGGTACAGAGCAGGCAACAGGGACCATAACAAGACTAAGGCCACGAAAAACATTTGTTATGATATTGTGAAAACGTGTGGCGGGTCGTGTACGCATCATGGATTGCATCTGTTTTAAATAAAAAAAAAATATTAATTCATTTTTAACAAATTTTATTTGCTCAAAAATCATACCTCTATAATTCCCAAATTTATAAGACCTAAAGTAACAGGTAATATATAGGAGCTATCGACTTCAGTTAAATTCGGTATCCAACCAAAACCTCCAATAGTCAATTCGGTAGCTACTATTTGCGCTTGCAGTGAAGTGGGATCAGGCATCAAGCTAACCATATTACGCAATGCCATAGATTGAAAAATCCACAAGGGTATTTGACCCCATAAAACAATAAAAGTTTTGGCAGGATGACAGTTATCTCTCACCACCAATTTGTTCCATTGTTTACGAATCTGGTAATTATTAATATATACTATTCAGAATCATTTTCATTGCACGCATACATACATAAATCACTTACAGATCTTTGGTAAACTATTTTGGTTTGTTTTTCGGTCCATTTAAACTTTCTCATGGCCATGGCAGCTTCTTTTTTCAACTCCTCTACAATGGCCGGCATTTCTAGAGAGATTTTTTCTATTCTGGCAGTTATTTTATGTTGATATATGGTCAGAGGTAATGTTACTACCGAACGAAATAGAAATGTTGTTGCAATTATCGAGGCCCACCATGGTAAACCGGTAAAATCGTGTATTTCTATTAGACCCTGTTGCACGTATGCCACCGGCGTGCTAGTCGACAGAGACTGATAAAAACTGGCAAAGAAACCAGGATCAAGGGGAGCTGTAGTGGCAGCAGCTGCCGCAGTAGAATTAAAACGTAATGGTAATTTGTTTAACTGCCTTTTGTTCGTCTCCTGCCTGTGAATTTTGTATTGTTGCGTCGCACAACCAAAATTACGCTTAAACATTGCCCCAACATGATTTACTTCCGCGACATTATTTACGGGTATCAATTTTAAAGATTTTATTGATGATTTAAGTAAGTGATTCATTTTTTAGAGAATCTCAACACAATTCAGTTTAAGTTTAATTCATAATTATAATAAAAAGTGTTTAAATAACAACTGTTTGCCAATATGTAATATTACGGAAGATAAACCCAAAACAAAAAACAGCTGTTCGCAGTGATGAAAATTTTTATATTAATTTGACAGCAACAACAGGGTGTCCTAGATAATAGAAAACTTAAATCGTTGCCATACTAGCAAAATAATGATTTTTTTTGCCCCCATCATGTTATTAATAAGGGTTCTATAGGGTTCTATAGTTGAAACGAAAAGTCGACTTTTCGACTTTTTGCATTTAGTTAAAAGTCGACTTTTCGACCTTTCGACTTTTTCCATTTTATGAAAAGTCGATTTTTCGACTTTTCGACCTTTTTCATTTATTTAAAAGTTGACTTTTAGACTTTTCGACTTTTAGTATTTTATAAATGGTCGACTTTTCGACTTTTTCCGACTTCTCGACTTTTTCCGACTTTTTTCGACTTTTCGACTTTTTTCGACCTTTCCACTTTTTTCGACTTTTCGACTTTTTCCGACATTTTTCAACTTTTCGACTTTTCGATTTTTTACGACTTTTTGACTATTTTCGACTTATTTCGACTTTTTTCGACTATTTTTTACTTTTTTCGAGTTTTTCCGACTATTTTAGAGTTTTGACCTCTCTTCCACTTTTTTAAAATTTTCGACTATTTTCGACTTTTCGACTTTTCGACTTTTTTCGACTTTTTTCGACTTTTCGACTTTTGTCGACTTTCCGACTTTTCGACTTTTTTCGACTTTTATTTACAAAGTCGACTTTTCGACTTTTTTCATAAACGATAGTCGAGTTATCGACCTTTTTGGAACAAAATAGTCGACTTCGACTTTTCGACTTTTTTCGACAAAAAGTCGATTGTTCGATTATTCGAAAGTCGATTTATAGAACCCGGTTCTATAGTTGAATCGAAAAGTCGACTTTTCGACATTTTTATTTAGTTAAAAGTCGACTTTTCGACTTTTTGCATTTTATGAAATGTCGATTTTTCGACTTTTTTCATTTAATTAAAAGTCGACTTTTAAACTTTTCGACTATAAGTATTTTATAAATAGTCGACTTTTTGACTATTTTCGACTTTTTTTTTTGACTTTTTTCGAGTTTTTCCGACTATTTTAGAATTTTTGACTTTTTTTCCACATTTTTAAAATTTTCGACTATTTTTTAAATTTTTCTACAATTTTCGAGTTTTCGACTTTTCGACTTTTCCGGCTTTCTTCGACATTTTCCGAGTTTTCGACTTTTCGAATTTTTTCGACTTATCGACTTTTCGACTTTCAGACTTTTCGATTTTTTCGACTTTTATTAACAAAGTCGACTTTTCGACTTTTTTCACAGACGATAGTCGAGTTATCGACTTTTTTGGAACAGAATAGTCGACTTCGACTTTTCGACAAAAAGTCGATTATTCGAAAGTCGATTTATAGAACCCTATTATTAACGTTTTATTAACACAATGAGTTTAAACTAGGTTTCTATAGTTGAAACGAAAAGTCGAATTTTCGACTTTTTGCATTTAGTTAAAAGTCGACTTTTCGATTTTTTGCATTTAGTTAAAAGTCGACTTTTAGACTTTTCGTCTTTTAGTATTTTATAAATAGTCGAATTTTCGACTTTTTCCGACTTTCTCTGACTTTTTTCGACTTTTCGATTTTTTGATTTCTTTCAACTCTTTTTTTTTTGTTAGGAAAAGTTGACTTTTGGAAATTTTTTTTGAATAATTTTAACGTCCATACCTTGAGTAAAATGTTTAATACATAGTTGTAGAATGTGTTTTTTATAGAAATTTGAAATTAAGAAAACGTTACAGTTTTTCGCAAATAATTAGAGTGGCATCTTTGTGTTATTTTCGAAATTCCAATGATGACAACAGGTTAGTTCACGTACTATAATTTTTTATATACATAAATACGTAACACCCAGTTATAATGAACAGCGACATATGATAGGTAGGATGCCAGATATTTTTCCCCCAAAAATTAAAAATAATTACTGAATTACACTTTTTAAGAAACTTTTGTACATTAATAGATGTGAAATAATGTTGTACTAAACATGTAGTATGTTATTCTATAATGTAGTATGACTCCTAAGCTTGAATGTTAAAAACAGTTAAATAATAAAAAAAACGTCATCCATAAATTACAATTGTGTTTTCCCAAATTTATGTAAAATCCCCTAATATGGCATTCCTAAACATATGGATAAATAATTCAGTTGTTTTTGTTGCTCACCTAGTTGTTAAAACAAAAAGCAAGAAAATATTGTGCAGTGTATACAAAAGACAAGTGAAGAAGAAAAACGAACAAAATTGGAAGAAGACATTTTTCTTTCAATTCGGTAATTTAACAGTAAATAATTGCAATTAATTATATATTTTTTAACTAGCAAAAGAATTCTAAAATAATGAAAATATAGAAATATAAGAAAATAAATCAAATATTTTGTTGACAAAATATTTAAACAAATAAAACTGAAATGAAAGGTGAGCAAAAGTATATGGATGAAAAAAAAAGGAAAATTACAACAAGAAATACAAATTTTTCTATTAGTTTTTTCTGTGTTTGAGAGATACTAACAAAATTTTTAGTGATTTTATTTTGTAATTTTAAAATAATTGATTTTTTTATGAAAAATTTTGACAAATTTCATTTCTTTGTGTTCTTTAACTACGAAAAAACAACGAAAATTTGCATACATTACAAAAACAACAACTACAACGTATTGTCTCATTATTTATTGTTGGTGGGGCTGTTGGACATATTTAATTTTTTTTTCATATTGTTGCTGCTGTTTCAATTTTTGCACACCAATACTACTACAAAAATAATATAAAAACAAACAAAATAAAACAACAACAACTTTAACTGTGACGTTAAACATTTGTTGGAAAAACTGTCAACGTTTTTGCTGCTGCCTGCTTGTCGATTTGTTGTTATTTTGTCTTTATTTTCATAACTTGCTGACTTGTTACTACACCAACAACTATATTACATGACAATTGCGTATTGGAACATTAATATTACATGGGACTCCATTTTTTAATTCTATTTTGAAACACAATAGATTAAACCTGCCTGCAACATACAAGGAAGCGTATTAAAGCAAAAGAAAACAGTTTAACTTTGCCAATATAAGTGCAGCTGCTGATTAATTATTTATATATAAATATAATTAATATATTTAACAACGTCATTTTCTAACTAAAACGTATAAAAAACGAGAAAATTTTAAGCAATTTATAGCAGAAAGTGAAAAAAAAAACGGAATTTGTGCAGAGGGCAAAAGTTACACTTAAACACTCCATTACCACTAAGTGGTTTGGTTGGTTGGTTGATTGTTGTCTGAAGCAAACAAATTTCCCTGGAATCCTTCCTTGTTGGAATTTACTGCTTCCTTTCTATCCCATCTACTGTTTTACATATATTTTTTTACGTTTGTTAACCTGTTTGCCTAGAGTGGATATGAATTGTACATTGACAAGATGGGGAGAGTTACCATCATTGGTATTGGGCCAGATTTACGAATATTTAGAACCTCATGATCGCCTTAATGCCAGTCAAACGTGCAGACATTGGCGCAGCGTTTTATTTCAAAAGAGGTAAGTTTATTATTGATTATTTTAAATTAAATAGTTTTATATTATATTCGCACATTGGTATCTACACTCAGACTATATTTCAGTTTATTTGTAGGCCAAACTATTGTCTATCTAAAGATTAGACTTTAGTTATTAAGCTATTATCAAGACTGTAGTCATCCAGCTATAGAAAAGGATATATTCATCAGGCTATAGTCCAGACTATATCAAGCTATAGTACAGACCCTATTTATCAAGCTATAGTCCAGACTATAGACATTAAGCATACATACAGACTATATTCATCTAGCTATAATCCAGATTATATCAAACTATAGTCATCAAGCTATAGTCCTAAGTATTGTTATCAAGCTATAGTCCAGACTATAGACATTGAGCATACATACAGTCTATATTCATCTAGCTATAATCCAGACTATATCAAATTATAGTTATCAAGCTATTATATATACTTTATTCATCAAGCTATAGTGTAGATTATATATTGATCAAGCTATAGTCCAGACTATAGGCATCAGGATTTAGTACAGACTATGTTCAAGATATAGTCCGCCAAAGTTTATAATCTGAAATCTTTTTCGGAATTTTCTTATTCAAAGAGAATCGACAAGATTCCCTTAAGCAACGTAACAGTATCCCATCCGAATTAATGTCTTTCTATGATAGCAGATCTATGATATATGATCTATGATATGCTGATCAATTTAAATGAATTTTTAAGAAATTCTACTGTCAACTTTATGGATTTAAGTTAGTTTGAGGCTTTTTTGATGTTATAATCTCCCGCAGATGATCCATCTCGTGATCCTGTCAATCTAATGGTTAAAGCAGTTGAAGTAGCACCATATTTTGGCCTGGATTCTGCATAAATGTATAAACTTAACTGCTACGACAAAAATAACCTAAGTTTAACCCTAATATAATCCATCCTATGTTTTGATTATACATAAATCAACTATATCTCATTAACGAATAGCACCAAGAGTCAATAAATTATTTTGAGTTTCATGTTCTTTGACACCGTGTCTCTTCTTTTAAAGTTCTGATAATAATTGGTCTGCTTAAATGCGATTTCTTTTAGTAAATTTCCGTTACCACCCTAATGAACATTGTTTTCCATCAGCAAGTTTATTTATTCTAGTACTCAGTATGTATTTATAAAAAAATATATGCTGATAAAGATAAACTCAATGATGATGATATCGTTAAGAGGTGGATGCTAAATATAATCATAAAAACAATGTTGCTGTTTTAAAACAAAAACAGCAAAAAATAGAAGGAAAAACAATGAGGCATGCATCATGGTACAGGGGGTACTTACACTACATGCACATACAAAAGCAAATAAGTGAAAGTGTGCACATATGGTCAATTAATATTGTATAATTTAAATAAGAAAATGTTTTCAATTAGACTAACTCAATTAATTGAGTTAATATAAGTATAATTAGAAAATTTATATATTTTTTTTTTTTTAATTTAAATATTTTATAACGCAAAACGTTAGCTTTTATAAATTCAATTTAAGATTTTTAAAAAAGTTGAATGAAATTATCTTAATAGCAATATTAATATGCGCATTACTTTTTTTCTTGTTTTAGATATTTAAATGTTTTTAATTTATTGTTTTTATGCCAACATTTTAACCATTGTCTCAAAAGCTGCCTTTAAAACAAAAGACATAAATATTGTGGTTTAAAAAGATTAGTTTAGGTTTTTTACTTCTAGAACAGCTGATTGAGAAATCATCATCTACTAACTAGTTTATGGCTTTTTTTTCAGTGGTTTCCTATTCACGTTTCATACACTGACTGCACTTTGTCTGTTGGACTAATGATGATGTTGTTTATGCCAAATATTTATGGTGGTTTATATTGTATATCATGTACTATATATGTATATAGGAGGTTTTTTTCTTTATTTGTTTGTTTATTTTATTCAAGGCCAAATTTGTTTTTGTTATAATTTCTTTTTATTTCAAATGTTCGTCAATTAAAATAATTTAATGTATTTTGCTATACGTCATTTGTTAACCCATTTTATGCGAATTCAAGAGATTTTTTTAAAGGAATGGAATGTTTTCTTGGATTAAAATGAAATTATGAATCGTTTACAAGAATCTCTTTAAAATTTAACATTATCATCAAATATCATGCTAATTGCCTTCTGATAGAATCCCAAGCCGGCCAACTTTGTCCTTCCATTGAGAGCCATCCGTGTAGCAACGGATTCCTACGTTTATTCACTCTTATGTTCCGCTTGACCAAGGCATTCAAACTGGGATCAGCGTTTCAAAGTTTCCGAAATGTTCTGTGTCTGGTATGCGATCGGACATGTCCGATGATTATGTGTAGCCTTCCAATGTGTTAAGTATACATTGATGACGTGTTCTATAGTCACTCTTGGCCAGTTCGCCTAAAGTTATGAGACGTTCGGTGGGTGAAATATCTAGCAACGTTTCTAGAGCCTTGGTTGACGTAGTACTAATAGCACCACTTCTACCCATGCAGCATGTACGCACACTTTTTGTCCAATGAAGTCCACCAGATTATTAAAGCATAAGCTAGAATTGGTCTAATTACTCTTTAATAAATCCTGTGTCATAGTAGGATTAAGACCGCATTTCATGCCTATGGTTCTCCAACATAGCGCCGATGTGTCTTGTTGATCCTATCCATTTTAATTTCCGGTCAAGCATTACACCTTAGTACTTAAAACTCTATCACCGGTATCTTCTTGCCCAGGAAACAGGGTTCGTTATACTTGGAAATTTTTGTCTTTCTTGTGAAAAGACAGATTTTAGTCTTCGCCGGGTTATCATTGAGGCTTCTCAGTTGAGGCCAACTCATGGCCGTATTCAGCTCTTCTACACAAGTAATTTGGATCCTTTCTTCTTTGAAGTAATACGACATAGTCGGCATAGCAGACAGGTCTAAATCCTTTCTCGGTTAGGGTTCGTAGGAGGCTATTAATTGTGGTATCTCGGAGTAAAGGTGACAAAATGCCACCCTGTAGTGTACCGCGAAATACCCTTTTCTTCATAGTTATATCGTACATCTCGCAGCTTAACCATCTGTTCCCTAGCATGTAGTTGATCCAGTTACGGAACACCCGGTCAACATAAAACTGGTTTAAGGATTAGATAAGAGTATCAGTGTGCACGTTAATGAAGGCGTCTTCGATGTCAATGTATACCGCCAGGGAATTTACCGATATAGGGGACAACTTCGTTTAACTCGGATTCCAGCGAACGTCGCTTTACTTTGGTCTTTGTCTGGTATACAACTTTTAACCATACTATCGACTATCCGTTCCAAGGTTTTAAGGTCGATAGCTTGATTTTCCTGGTTTGGGTTTAACTATTACCCTTGTATCCTGCAGTTTGCTATCGAGGAATTTACCGATATAGGGGACAACTTCGTTTAACTCGGATTCCAGCGAACGTCGCTTTACTTTGGTCTTTGTCTGGTATACAACTTTTAACCATACTATCGACTATCCGTTCCAAGGTTTTAAGGTCGATAGCTTGATTTTCCTGGTTTGGGTATAACTATTACCCTTGTATCCTGCCATTTAATTGGGGTATAAGTCAATATCAAGCATTGACAGATGTACATAGATAAATTTCGGTTGGATATGAGAATTTCTTTTTTAAGTTTTGTCATTACCAAAGATTTTATTACAGAAGCTTGAAATTGTTTTAAATTTTAATTCATTTTAATTTAAATCTCTTTTTATACTTTTCTTATATTTGATTGGAAGCTTAAATAATCCTACTTTTTCATATTTTTACAGATTTTTCCTTAATTCTAAATTTAAACTACATATTGACAACGATCGTCAGTGCAAATTCTTTCGCCATACTTTATACAATCTGACGAACGAGCTAATTATTATTTTCGATTTCATAAATGTTTTCCATATTGAAAAAATACGACGCATCTTATACAAGTAAGTTTTAATAATTAATAATACAATTTAAAAAAAATATATTTTTTAAAACAAATTTATATTCTCTACAGAGTTGCACGATGTGATAGTTTACAAGGTTTACGTTTTCAAACAAACAATGTGGGTCTAACACCACCCGGTGATATAAGTGAAGAGAGTCTAGTCGATATTGAACAGTAAGTAATAATATTTGTTAAAGAATATATATAATTAAATATATCTTAATCATCAACTTTCAGACTCTTTGTTGAACCATTAAAAATATTTTTAAATCGCAAGAAAACCGCCTGTAAAATATTGGACTTAGGTGCAATTGAAGCTTTAACTTATTATGGTTTAGATTTCCTAAAATCTTTGAGCCGGCCTCAAGAATTAAACGAACTAACATTGGCCTCCATCAAATACGATCCTAGTCATTATCCCATGTTCGCCATGGAGAATACACTATTGCAAAAATGTTCATCGCTACAAGTACTTTCGCTCGATTACGATACGCTCAACGAAGAACTGTTGCATACATTAAAAGTTTTACCGCTGAAGAAATTTTTAATATGTGTTCACGGTTTGGATCGTCATCATCCTGGTATATCGGAGAGAGCATGGTCGGAATTTTCAGCAAATTTTAATAATATCGATTTGATTGTAACGCTGATTTATGCCTTCGAAGCTGTTGAAGTCTTGCAAATGCGTATCTTAAGACAAAATATGCCCATAACACATTTGCGTGTATTATTCTGTGATTATGTGAGTTTTAGAGTTGAAAATATAAAGTTGATGGAGTCTCTTTAATTTGAATATGTTTTTATTTTCAGATGAATGTTGATGCATTGGAATGGATTTCTTTAAATAATAGCCGCACTTTGAAAAGTATACAATGGATTGATTCCGTAAGTTATAAGTTTTAGTTCAACATTTTTCACTAAAATAAAAATTCACCAAAAAAGTTTCACTCAATATTTCACCAAATTTTTCACTAAAAATTTAGAACATTTTTCAGATATTTCTTTCTCAAAATATTCAATAACTAATGAAAATAATTATAGAAATTGTTTTAGTGAAAAACAATTTCACCCTTTACATTTAGCAAATTTTTTACAAACAAATTTCGCCATATTTTTGGAATCATTTCACCAAAGTTTTCACTACGATTTAAGAAAGTTACTCCACTAATATGTTTTCTATAATATTCACTTTGCAATTTTAACTAAATTTTGTTACAAAAAATATTTCACCAAATTTTTTCACGAACAATTTCACTAATTTATGAAAATTTCATATTGAAATTAGTTTTTTTAACTTTCACCAATTTCAATTCACTAAATTGTTTGTATTCAAAAAAATTATTTAAATTCCACAAAATTTTTCACTAAAAAATTCAAAATTGTTTTCTATAATATTATTTTACGTTAAAAATTCACTATATATTTTCATTCAAAATTCACCATTTTTAGGATTATTAAATTTTTTCACTAAAAATTTCACCAAATTTTTTCACTAAAAATTTCACCAAATTTTTTCACTAAAAATTTCACCAAATTTTTTCACTACAAAATTTCACCGAATTTATTCATCAAAAAATTTTTTCACTAAAATTTTTTCACAAAAAATTTTTTCACTAAAAAATTTCACCAATTTTTTTCACAAAAAATTTCACCATATTTTTTTACTAAAAATTTTTATCAAATTTTTTCACTAAAAATTTTTATAAAATTTTTTCACTAAAAAATTTCACCAAATTTTTTCACTAAAAAATTTTATCAAATTTTTTTACTAAAAATTTACCACTTTTTTTACTAAAAAAGTTTACCAAATTTATTCACTAAAAATTTCACCAAATTTTTTTACTAAAATAATTTCACGAAATTTTTCCAAAATTTTACCATATTTTAAAAAAAAAAATTCAAATTTTTACAATAAAAAATATTTCGCCTAATTTTCTTGACTACAAAATTGCCATAAATTATTTCACTAAAAAATTTCACAAAAAAATTTCACAAAATTTTTACATACAAATTTTCACCAAATTTTACACTAAAAACTTTCACCAAATTTTACACCAAAAACTTTCACCAAATTTTTTACTAAAAAAAATTCACCAAATTTTTTACTAAAAAAATTTCACCAAATTTTTTCACAAAAAAATTTCGCCAAATTTTTCCAAATTTTTTTCACTAAAAAAATGTGACAAAAATTTCACAAAATTTTTCCACAAAAAAAAATTATCAAATTTTTAACTAAAAAATTTCATTAAAAATATAAAATGTAAATTCAACCAAAATTTTTTTCATTCCAAAATTATTATTAATTTCTTGCATTATTACGACTACATTCAGGCCTGCAAACATTCCGATAAAAATATTATGGACTTATTTTTACGCTCCGGACAAGATCCCTTTATAATGATGTCTTGGCGTTGCAAGAATTTAGAAGAAATTGTCATACACGGTTATGTTTTGGATCCCCATAACATTGTTGGCATTTCTCGTTTACGTGGCCGTACCTTAAAACATTTAGAGGTATCAATGATTGATAATGCTCCCACTGAAGCCAACATCGATTCCTTTATAGAAGTGAGTACTTTAACAGATAAATGAATTAATCATATTTATCATAATCATAATTAATCATATTTATAGGAAATCAATACTTTGTTGGGCCAAAAATGGGAACCTTCAAATCTCAATAATATGCATCCAGCACTCGGCTATATGCCCGTAGCAGATGATGTACGTGATGAATATGTCTTCGATCTCATACGACGTGATATTTCCAATTAAAACTGGAAACAAATATAAAAAAACTCAAAATCCATAAACAAATTTTACACTTTTTAAGGAAAATTTGTTAAATCAAACTTTTTTTGATTAAGCGCAGTACACACACACACACAAAAGCAAAAAACAACAACAACTACAGCAACTAACATTAAATTAACTTTGCAATATTTTTTAATTATTAAGTGAAAATCCCCTTAAAAAAGCAAAAAAAAAACATCACTTCAAACTTAAACAACAAAACACACAAACTAAATAAACTAAAAGTCATGCCAAGTAAATCAAATCAACAACAACAACCAACGATTTTTTGTCATCATCATCATTTAATTCATCATATTAAATTAAGCAGCGGGATTTGCAGCAGCCGTCATTATACTACATTACAATGATGTTGGGTAAATATGTATGTTTAAATGTATGTATTTTTTTTAATAAGAAATTTCTGCATGACAGTGATATAATTAATCTATAGATGAAAATTAATTTTTTTTTTATTTTATATAATTTTACGTTTATTTTTTATTATAATTTTTTTATATGGGTTATAACTATATGATATCTTTTTTAAATGTCCTTTATACAAACAGCAAAAACAAATCTTAAAACAATTTTAAGAAATTATTATATAACTTTTAATTTAAATATAAAAAAAACTTTAGTTTGAAATTTACTTTCATTGATGGCCATTAGCGACAAAAGCAAATTACAATACTGAACTGAAAACAACTAAAACAAAAGAGAAATTTTTAAATAAGAAAAACAAAAACAAAAATATGCCAAATTTTATTAAAACATTTAGAGCAAAAATTTTGATTTAATTTAAACATATTAAATTTATTTTTAAATATAAACTTTTAAGGATTGTTTTGTGGTTTGGAAAAGTTAATATTTGAGATCATCATATTTGTATTGTAGTAAATTTTACTTAGAAACATTATGCTAAAATATCCATAGTTATATAAAGTATGAAAACGCTGTAGAAAGTGTTATTAGTAACCCTTCATTGTTTGAGGAACCAATAATCGTTCCTTTGCAAGGTCTTTACTAGTTCTTTAACAACTCCATTTCCTTCAAAAGAAGCCTTTACTTAGAAGGGTTCTTTAATATTTAATACAAAAGAGCCATAATAGAACTAGTTTAGTTTAAAAGAGTTGTATACCAAAAAGGTATACATCCACCCGGAGACCCAAGAGTATCGATCCATTGTGATTCCCTTTAAAGGAACAAAAAATAAACAGAAAGAAGATAGACCCTTTCCTAATAGAGAAAGAATATTGATAGTATTGGAAGGGAATACTACGAGGTCCGACCCAAAAAGGTTCCTATTGCACAGTGTCCGGTTATCACTTCTACTAGAATTCTAATAGTATATTGTTTGTCTTGGCATTCAACTTCGGCCATAAGGCCATCCTACTGTGCTAGGATTGGTTAGAGGAGTTTCTGAATTAATCGGAGATTAGCCTGTAGTAGTTGGAGATCTGACCATTGTCTGGCCAGTTCGTGTGCAATCTCATTACCCTGGATATAACAGTGCTCTGGAACCCAACACAACCGAATAGTATACATCCCAGATAGCACACTGATATCACACCTATAGCACCCCTGCAGCTACTTACTAATCTGGAATAAACTACATGACATTACAAGGCCTTAAGTGCTGCCTGACTAATGTGTGTCTTTATCAGTACCATAGCTTACGAATCGCTAAGATCTCTGCCTGTAAAGTACTACATTCATCCCGAAGTCTATATGACACCTTTATATCGCAATCTACTAAATAAACTCCAGCAACTGTGCCGGATTCAATTTTGGATCTATCAATGAAGATTGCACACCCTTTAAACAAAACTTCACATCCCATCCATGTGTCTCTACTTGGAAACTCTATTGGGGTGTAACACCGAAGTCTAGTTTCGTAACAAAATGATCAGAGAAACATTCCGTAATCCCTTCACTCCATGTTAGACAGACCTCGTACAAGATCTTAGTGTGACCCACCCTCTGAAGTCTTACTAAATATGACTCATAGAGTCTCAGTAAGTTCCTAGTCGCCATACTCTCAACAGACGGAAACACGCCTGTTGTCGTTAACATCATACTCGGCCAAAGATTGTCAACTCAACGACAGTTGTATAAACCGAAAGTATCCGGTTCGAAGAATCAATTGTTGTGGGAATGATGACGTCCCTATTTGGGTAGCATACAACCGTTGACATCCTACATCAAACTGTTTATTTAACATCACTGTGTGTTCCTAGACTGGGAGAACCTTCGTTTCCTCATGTAGTTGGAATTCTGAGGTGGTTTGAAAGTGCTGCCGGTTAGCGCTTTTAGAACTTTGCTTTTACCTCGTGATTGCAGTATCATGAGCTGAGGAAGTATAATATAGACTATCAAAGGTACCCCCAAAATGTTTGAGTGATGCACAGTCGAAATTGACGCTCCCTGTTGTTGTTGTTGTAATATCTAAAACTATACATACATTAATCTAGTTGGGGTGTTCTACATCAATGTCCAGGCCTAAAAATTGGGTTACTTCAACTGGATGCGTCCATAAATCTATTGGACGGAGTGAAGTAGGGTTGGCTGGGCAGTTGATTGTGTGGTGGGTATCATGGGGACCCTGACCACATGCAAGACATTCGTTGGTAACGGCACGGTCAATACGTGACCAGTAGGCATTGAGCCTGTTGCTCCATCCTGATCATAGTTGTGTGCCAAAACTACTCTTGTTCTCCGCGGCAGGTTTTCTTCCGTGTCTGCTATGGGCGGTGGGTGACCTCCAAGTACGACATTCATTCGGTATCCTGCGACCGCGGAATTTATGGCGTCTCTAGGAATTTCGTTCAAAGCTGTCGTATACGAGGACTGATCCAATGGATCCTGCACATATCTGCATATGTTTTCCTTGTATATACGAATATCCTTTCTGACATGCCTAGGGGGAGCATTCAACTGTGTGATGTTAAAGTTGGGATGACTCCTCCGATGACATCCCAGGAGGAATGGTTTAGTCAACATGACATTGTGTTCCTTGAATGTGCAGGTGCTGATCCGAGGTAATTTGTAAGCAGCCCGTTACAGTCCTTAGGGCGGCATTTTGGCAGCTTTGAATGTTTCTCTAATGGGTATCACTGAGCGAAGGTGACCACACTGGGCCAGCATAATTAACCACAGACCGACCAATTGTTTTATATGTAGCTAACAAGATTTCTTTATCCATACCCGAAGTGCTGCCGGCTAGCGCTTTGACGACCTTGTTTCTACTTCGCAATTTGTGCGTGATTGCAGTGGCGTTAGCTGAGGAAGTAAAGAGGCTATCAAATGAGACCCCTAAGATTCTTGTATGGTGCACGGTCGGAATTTGGACTCCATCGATCACGATGCCTAGGTTTAAGTTTACTTCTTTCGTCCAGGTGGTAAAAAGTGTTGTTGACGTGTTCGCTGGTGATAATTGCAGGTTACGCGCAGTGAAGAACTTATGTATTTCATGGAGAAAACTATTCACCTGATCGTGTACTTCTCCAATTGTCTTTAAAATCGATTCAAACTTGTTGAGGCTATGACTATTCGCAACTGATTTCTGAAGTTCGAAATAACTAGACAGATCCCAGAAACCTCTATAGAAACAGCTGAAAAATCCCAAAAAAGTTTAAATAGAATTTGTGCTAAACTTACTAGTTCTACAACTGGATACTGTTCTGTGGAACATTATCGTGATTCCAAAATACATTCTTCCAAGGAATTTTTAAGGAATCATAAATGCGTTTTGGAAGTAACACACTTTTCCCCTCATTCATTAGATATATTAAAGTGTCTCTGACTACACTCTTTCTAGATCCAAAGGCTTTTAGAACAAGTTCCTGGAATATTAATAAACTTTTAAAACAATTTTAGAAAACTATAAAAGAACATTCCAAAATGTTTAAAATTGTTGTAAAAAAAGTATTTAAGTATAAAATGGAAACAAATTGAATAAAAAACTGATATATGGATATTATATCAGTGAAACTCAAATAGAATAAATAAGAACAAGAAAATCCCAATCAAAACTTTTCCAAACACACTAAACTTCTCAATAAAGTTCTACAAGATTTTTTTTTTATTTCTTAATAATTTTTTTTATTACTAAACAAAAATTTATTAACAAAAATATAATAGTTTTAAGCTAATATTAAAAAAAAGAAAAACAAAATAATTTACTAAAAAATATTAGATAAATAAGTCACACTACCCTTACACACACACAACCCCCTTAAATATTAAGCTCCCAGGCATTGTCTAAATGAAAACAATTTTAAAACAATGACATCAAACTAATTACAACCGTATTACAAACAAACAACAACAACAAAAATCATCTTAAAAGACTTAAGCACTTCACAAATTATCACGTACAACGGCGAAATTGTGAAACCTGCTATAAAAAAAAACAAAAACAAACAAATACAACAAACCTTAATTTGTATTTAAAACTCAAAATAAATAAATTGTATTAAACAAACAACTAGTTTAACAAAGAAAAGAAACAAACAAAAACATCAAACTGTGATTAAACAAGAAAGCCATCTCAAAAATATAAACAAATTACTACTAAATTTACAACTAAAACAACAATGAACACAAAACAAATGTTGTTAGAATATGTGCAACAATTATTTTAGAAAATTGATAAACAAATGTTTAAAACATCTTAGAAAGCTAACAAAAAAAAAAATTCAACAACTAATTGTTATTTAATTAAAAAAAAATTATTGAAAAAAATTGAAGACAATTTTCAAGAATATTTTTATTATTCACCATTTACAATATTATTTTCGAGTTTGAACTTTTTATCATTTTTTTTATCTTATTTAAGAAAGGTCTTTGAAAGGTTATCTCGTTTTAGAACATAGTTATGAGTTTTTGGTTATTTCCAAAGAAAACTAAGATAGTTTTTAGAAATTGATGACACCTACATGCTAAAAATGATAATATCCTGCGATATCCTTCGAAAACACTTTACACATGATATCTGGAAAACATAATTCTGATGACAAATTCGTCACTGTTCAGTTCTTTAAGTATACTCTGATCTCTGGAATTTGACTTCTTTCAAATAATGTTGATCTTTATTATTATCTTGGGAGATATTGGAATCATTAAAGCTACGGTTGATAGTAAAGGTTCACCAATTTCAAGAATTTTCCTTAAGGATCTTTTGTTTATATATATAGAGATGGATATTCTTTAATTAACTTTCCATTCGTCAAAAAAGGGATTGTAGTGAAGAAATCCTGTTCTCTCTGCAAGCAGAAATAAACATATTTGCTTTGTCAGAAGGTTTTCCGTTAAACCCAATCAGAATCTACCCTCAATACCTTTCCATCATGTATAGATAGGTTATAACTTCTACTTGAAAGTTAGACTATAAGC